GAAACACGTACGCCTCAGTTTTAGAGAATAGATATCTTGCTCTATCAGCTATCTATCATATCTTTGCACAAGCATCGACGTTGAAATTGGCTATCTCAGCACTATAACCTCCGTGGATTGCCATTTACCTCCATAGCTGCTTATATCGGTCGAATGATGGTTGCTAGAGTTCAGAGTCATGTCGATTCTGGAAGAAATATAATCATCATCTTCTTCCCGTACTATTCTATATGAATGAGATAATACAGCTTTCTTTTGGAAGTAATCTCTCATGCTGTTGATCTCATTTGTATGAAAATTGTTCATTTTGAAGTACAACGATGTTCTATCTTACTTGGGAGTACGACCCTTTGGACTGAACTTTCGGAAGGGTGGAATTTTAAGTGGGGCAATAAGTCCCTGATAAGTCTTTCCAAGGAATAAATACTTCTTTTCGACCATTTGATGATACTCAATGAGAAAGTAATTATTAGTATTGCACACATATTGATTGTTTTCGAAGTTGTGAATTACTTCTGTGTAAATTCTGAAAGGTTTTGAATATCCTTTCTTTAGACTCTTCCCTCTGCATTTTCTCTTTAATTTTACTGTACACGACTAATTTGATTTTAATAATCTATAAGTACTTGCAGAGTTCATCTTCTGTTATAGTTTCTTTCAAATCTCTCCTATTATGGTGTATTTCAGTTGTTATAGTCTCTTTCAGATGGTTTGTTATTCTATTACGCTGATGATTTTATTTAGATTAGATTAGATTTATTAATAATTTTGCAATTAACAAATGTGAGAACTTGGTGGCAGAATACACTAACTTAACATTGCAGAACTTAACAACTATACAAACTCTACAAACACTACAATCACATGAACATTTCACCGCTCATTCTTCATAGAACTCCACTTCACTTAACTTTCACTTCACACACTTCCACCGCACTGCCTACAGCGAGCTGTAGTCTTCTTACTCAACTCGTTTCTCTCAGTTACACAACGTCCACTGCACGTCACGCCACTGCACGCACAAATAATAATAAATAATAATAATAATAATAATAATAATAATAATAAATTAAAATGTAATAATAACAATAATAAAATGCTAATAATGATAATAACATTATTAATAACAACAATTAATATTAACAATAATAATAATACTTAAATTACAAAGAAGACATAGGTAATTACACTGATTATTTAATGCTATTTACTAAACAATCTACATTCAGAAAAAACTATTTATTTTTAAATTTTGATCAGGCTTTGAGGGGAAACGGATCGAAGATTGTCACAAGCAAACTTTCAGTCCCTAATAGTGCGGATTCGCGAATGCTTATTTTCCAACCGTCCGGGTTTCTGGAATTATTGTCTGAATTTTTGTGCATGGTAATCCGTTTCTGCCGAAATATTTAGGTTTCCCTAATCAACTTTGAATTTCTTTCCACGCTCGAAGGCTTGTGTACGCTTTATACATTGCATAGAGATGTGACTTTAATCTTCTCCTTTCGCGTGACTCTTATACCCCTTTTTTCTTGGTACCCCTGTAAGTAAATTTTGATGCTCTACGCTGGACCTTTTCTAGATTTCTTTGTTGCAAAATTTTATAAGTGTCCCAACATACCGCGCGATATTCTAAAATAAAGGTCGCACTAATGACATCTTTATTGATGCTTTAGATTTCACATTATCTAATACCAAATAGCGTTTCTCTGTCAATAGATATATTTTGGTAACTTCAATGAACTGCCTTAGTCCCTGTAAAATTCCTGAGTACAGTTTGATATCGTCTATGTCGATAAGCGTGTAAGACGGCATCTGTTATATCTCTCTGTTATTTTCAGTTAATATTCTACTCCCATACTGTCTAGCGAAGAGGAGTGAGGTTTCTCGGCTAGATAAAAAGAGTAAGGACCGATCGGAGGGGTGATCGGAAGTCGATGCGCTGATTACCCATCACCTGTGCAAGCCCCTCTGGTGAACAGAAGGGGTAATCCACTCGATCGGCCATGCTCTTCAAGGGTCAAGCGCCAAATATGTTTCTTCTTAAGTTTGATTGATTGTTAGTGATTCTGAGCGCGTCAACTACTAGAGTCATTAGTCTTGTATGTGTAGGGCATGTTTTTGCTCTAAAGGTGGCGGTGGTCTTTCCTCGCGGTATGACGAGATCCGGCGCCGACCTACCGTCGGTTAGCGGGGTTTTCCACAAACAGATATCTCCCACCAACAGGGCACCGCCCCAGTCGGGACAAGCTCTTAACTCCCGGCCCGTGTCCTGACATGTGTGGTAGTGTAAGAGGATAGGACAAGGAAGCGATAGGAAATATCGCGCGTGGTCTTTGGCCCGTTTGTTAGGGTACTGCTCCTGCACTCGCTTGGTGTTGATCAAAGAAACTACGTAAAACTATCGACCAGAGCAGCCGGCAGCAAAAATTCGTCTCCAGACAGCGATGGAATTTGACCTATCTGACAAGCTAGTGTCGAAAATTCTATCACCGTTGGGACTCGAACCTAGGACCTCCAAGTCAGAGGGACTGCAGCGATAGCAGTGATACTCGACCCATCCCTCCTGGTACTTATGGGTTCAAGGTACAAGCTCAGGTGAATTGCTGTGAGTCGTTGTGACTGTGGATAGTCATGACATTTGGTCATGTTGACAATAATGAAACACTTTTTCTAATGAAACTTAAAAAGTATTTCCATTGATACTTTTTCATGTAACTTTTTAAGTCCCAGGACAGACTAGCCAGGCAACTATTTTATATTTACAATTTCTTTTTATTATGAAGTGGGAAAGCATACGTAATAGTAATTATAGGTAATTATTACACACATAAACTACGTAGTGGCTAGACGGAACGCCATTAACCTTTACAAAACCTAGATCATTATGCATTCTAACATTTCAAATTCTAATAGTCACCCCAGGTTGTCTCTATCGTATCAAAGCCACCAAACAGATACTAAAGGTAAAAGCCAAGCAAAAAACTCTGAACGGGGAAAATCCTGCCTTCAGAAGATGAGTACAAGCTAAACTACGAAAGTATTTATTTCATAGCACAGACGTCACGTGTTCTCCTTCCATATTTTGACCTCCTCAGCGCCTGAAATGAAACATCGCAACGGAACACCCTCGCCTCTACGCTTACTCCTGGGTACCCATTCCCATTTGCCCTCTAATGCACATATTTTATTATTTGATTGTTTACATATGTGTTTGTTGATTTGCTTATTTATTTACTTATTACTTAACCACACATATACCTATTGCTTAAACACTTATTTACTTATAAAATGACTAACTTATTTATTGATTAATACATTCATTATTTATTTATTTATTTTATCTTCAGTCCAGGCTCCATTCAGAGCTAGTTTCCCACTCCCTAATTACCACTTCCCTAATACTCCTAACCCTTCATCACTGCTGTCCCTCTGACCGGGAGGTCCTAGGTTCGAGTCCCGAAGGAGTATTTTCGACACTACCTTGTCAGCTAGGGCAAATTCATTCGCTGTTCGAAGTATTCTAGCGGCTAGCTGCTCTGATCGGTACTTTTCCGTGGTTTCCGATCAACACCAAACGAATGCCGGAACCGTACCCGACCAACAGGCACAAACAACACGCGATCTTTCCTACCTCTTCCTTGTCCTATTCTCTCTCCTCTTACACACACACACACACAACCACACACTAGCACGTACTACACATACACACAAGCCGGAAAACTGGTCGGGGCTTAGAGTTTGTCCCAGCTGGGGCGGTGCCCCACGAGTGGGAGATAACTGGCCAAGGGAAAACCTCGTTTGCCGATGGTAGGTCGGAGCCGGATCTCAACACGCAGCGGGGGAAAGATCACCGCCACCTCACGAGCAAAAACACACACTACACGTACGGGACTAATAACTCTGGTAGTTGACGTGCCCGGAATTACTAAAACAATTAATAAATTAAAACTGAAACCTTCATAGAAAATTTCACAATTCTTTCATAAAGTGAGGCCTATTATCACTTAATATGTTTTAGACAAGCGTTACGTTTCTTTGTCGGAAGTAATATTTCGTCATACCATTTACTTCGTACAAGTTCCAGTATCAAAAGGAATTTAAATGATGTGGATTTAAATTTCAATGTCACTGAAAAACAAGTGAAATGAAAATAACTACTGGGGGGAGGGGTCAGGCTAAGAGGTTTAGTGGTAGGAGTCAGTAGGGATATTTTTCAATGGCAATGGTATTAAAATGATTCTTTGATTACAGAGTAGTACAAAATGCAACCTTTTCAAGTCTTGGTGTAAAAGGAAGTAAGAACGCTGGAAAGTTCAAAAGAAAAAAAGATATTCCTTCGATAGCGTTCTGAGATGGCCTATACAATCTGTAACACAGGTATCCTGGGAGAGTAATGGCGTTGGCAGTTACACCAACACGTTCAGAACTTACGAAATGTAACTCAAAGAAAAGGACAGTGAACAAAAACATTCACAGAAATACACAGAATTCAACAAAACACGGAAATCAACTAGGCAACAGTAGAGCGCAATACGGAATGAATGGATTATTATATTATCTACAAACTACATAATCTCATAACGGGAGTTTGTCACGGTAATGTTCATAATCTCCTTCCTTGTAAGTCTCATTTAAGCACACAAATATTACACCAAATAAACAAAAGATAAATAATACGAAATTATTTCAATTTTTTTTCATGTTATCTAATGCTAAAAATACCGTTATTTCATAAAGCTGATTTACATTTAGACAGTATATAATTCGCAATTCGTGTTTACTTCAATTTTTCCTTTGATAGCTACCACGTCTCTCCAAGTGTCTGACGTGAATTTAATATAACCATTGATTGCAAAACACAAATTAGGATATATGAGGATCAACTGGTGGTGACTATAGGATGAGTAGATTCATGAAGAGAGATACACATTTGTTTAATGAGTTTATTTTTTAAATATCATTTTTGGGATGATAAATAATAAATAGGTTGTAGAGGCTTAGTGCAGGTAAGCACCGTAGGCGACGGGGGCGGCGACCTTAGCCACGGCGGGGGCGGCGTAGGCGAGGGGAGCGGCGGCGACGGCGGGGGCGGCGTAGGCGACGGCGGGGGCGGCGACGACGGCGCGTGCGGGGGGCGCGCGGTAGGTGTTGGCGTAGGAGGTGGCGACGGGCACGGCGGCCTTAGCCACGACGGGGGCGGCGGCGTAGGCCACGGGGGCGGCAGCCACGGCGGGGGCGGCGTACGCCACGGGCGCGGCGGCGATGGCGGGGGCGGCGTAGCCGATGCCCACGGCGGGGGCGCCCAGGTAGCCAGCCGACACGGCGGCGAACAGCAGGGGAACGATCACCTGGAAGTAGAGAGAATTCGGAATTTCAAGAGTTTGCACTTGTCATTCCTCTTTGTTACAGACTAGTGGTTCCCATATAATTCGCTCGGAATTTATCTAATATCAAATATATATCTAATATCAAATACCACTTTATGACAGTTTTTTTTTGTTTCTGGTTGGAAATTAAAATGAAATTATATTGCCGCAGCTTGTATTATGTGCTGACAGTTAATTTTGAGATAGCAGAGTTTGAGTAAATGTTTTGCTACTCCACTAGTGTTTGTTATTTTAGTACGTTTTAGCTGATTACTTTCTTCAAGAAGTAGTATTTTCGTTTCAAATCTTTATTTTTAAATAACTTTTTAGGAGGTAAAACGGGCAAAAACTGAATCAAATGTAGGATATATTGAATTTTTTGGTTTTAATAACCCCTTGATGATACGAATTCAGACAGTGATTATCTAAATCTGCGAACTGCATTGCATAGTCTTTATACTAAGGCTATCGACAACTCTGCACCATTTATAGATAGCAACGCCAAAAAATCCCATTATTGTCCCCTTCTGGGTGAGTAATCCTCAAAAATACAGAAGTGCAATTTAAAATATTAATCAGTCACACATAAAATCCCAGCGATTTCTACTTGTCTGTTTCCTGTCGCATGGAATGCAAGTAACTCGGGATATGGAGCGTTATTTGCTCTAAACTTTGATTTCCCTGGCCCTTTGGACGAATAGTTTTGTAGGCCACACACCATGATTACTTTCTGGATTTTCTTTTACCCTTTCTGAGAATTTTTGCGCTGTTCTCTTTACTCTATAGCTTAGAATATACACTAGTTTGTTCAGCATAGTGTTAACATAAAACAGAGTGGGAATTAATTGCGAATTGCTAAATTGTAAGTTATTTATCTTTTATATTATTGTAAGTACATTTCATTCATGTATAAGAAATTTAAACATATAAACAGAAAAGGTTTAGGTTTTATAATACATTTATAATGAAATTTGGGCCTTGGATTTAGAACTTCAAATAAGTATGGAAATATATAATATTTTCAAAATTCACTAGATATTAACATTACAAACATTACATTACATTCTAAATTTACTAGATACTCCATGGATTGGATGTCCATGGATAATTACATTGTCTCCAGCGTGCTAGCTTTCTGTGAGTCAGTCTCAGGTTCGGTTTCCAGTCGCCGAAAAAATTAAGCTGTGGCTTTCTAATACAAATCGTCCCAGTTTCCAAAGCTGTATGACGAAAAAGCTTGGGCATGTCAGATAATCTCGATACGCTAATGGGAATAAGTCATGATCGCCACTTGTCTCCGTTACCGCAGGCGTGGTTAATGAAAACAGGGCTCAGCACAGGGAACACTGCTAGCTGGTGAACGTCAGATTAATCCGACCCCAAAATTCCAAGTTGATAGAACTTGTTACTTATTACAGAATTACATTGTTACTTACGACAGAAAAGTAAGAAATCTTTTTAACACTAGGAAAGTAGAAGAATTGTTATATTACTTATAAATTATTTTGTTTTTATAAAATATATTTCATTTATTGAATAATGCCCGAGCAAAATAAACGATAAGAATTAGTTACACTAGTTAAAAATTAGAAGTGAAATCTTACTGATTATCGCAAATTCCAAAATGTGGTCAAGAGTATCATGTACTAGTTTAAAACAAGAAATTTGTCTAAACGAAATGTTTCTGCCAGATGATTATTGTATTTTCAAGATATATCTTTCTTGCAGCAAATCACAAACGCGGAAAAGGTCATATAAAATGTCAATGTACAAGAAGTTTCGCTCGTTAGGACTTAAAAAACTATCTCTAGCCGACTCGAAAACACGTTATTGAAAACTCATGTCATGTTACTGAAGTAGCTCCTAGTAACACTGCAAAAGACTAAGCTTTGGCGATGCACTCACCAGCTTGTACATGTTGAAGAGTTGTCGGAGTGCTGTGGGCAGGTCGACTGTGCTGGTCAGGGCGCGGGCGGCAGCTTATAAAGGGTCTCTGCGGCCGAATGGCGGTCAGGGTCGGCTGCCCCTTGAGCAGGCCGGGCGGGCGGGCAGCGGCGGCGGTGGCGGCGGTGTCCGCCGCGCCCCTGTGCCGGACCGCGGCGGCGAGCGCCGCAGCGCCGAGAGCACGGACCGTGAAAGGGTGGGTGCGGTCCAGCAAGATATTGCTTCTCCTCTCCCTGCCTCGCGCTCCGAGAGTTTACGGCTTTCGAGACTTCTTTTCATGTATTGCTCTTGAATAATATCCCCCTAAACCATCCAGATTACTTACATGTAATATAGTATATTACTAGGTATCCGGCAACGCGTCGCTAATGCAACATATTACATTTCATACTATTCTAGTCACGTGGTTGCAAATCACATTTCACGCTACGCTCCGCAAAGATTTTAATACACCAAATACTTTCTCGCAAGTATGTGTTTGTTCTATGTTCTAGTTTGTACATGGTTGACAATAATTTTATTGTTAAAACGTTACCACTGAAGCTTGGACATACATTTGCTATGACACTGTCTTAGAGAAATTTGATTTTCTTGCCAGATATATATATTTAAGTACTCATTCCGACCGATATTTCACAATCGCATATGCAGAATATGCAGCGAAGACGCGCTTAATACTTGAGGGTACGGTGAGTTGCGTAGAGTTTCTGTTCAAGGGCTCTTGAGTCAACATAAACGCATAAAACATCATCGCGCGTGTATGTGCAAAAGACCTACGCACATTTACACTATTAAATGCCTATATTCTTTGTGAAAGTGCATCCAATAAGTTAACAAATTTTTGTCGCAATGGGATGAACGGTACTTCAGCTCATAAAATAATAACAATAATTTACTTTTATATATTAGATTATTGATATTCATATATTCTAATTTCAATCACATATGCTGATTTGAGACATTCTTCTTCTGGCTTATAATTAACACATGCTGGAATTATGAACATGCTATAAGTGCTACTTCATTAGTGATATTAAACAACATCCTATTGTGTAGAAGACCAGGTCTGTACACCATTTTGCTCTGCGTGCAAGCTGCTGCTGTGCTTTGCGTGCGAGCCTCTCGAGTGCAGATGAGAAATTTGAAGGGCGGTGATGAGGCAAATTCGAGAAGCGGAGACCACAATTAGAATGCGTAATTTGAACCATAGCGCGTAAATTGAATGAGCAATTGACGACAAAATGACGGTCACATACAGTGCAAGTAAGACTTTGTATTATATTGGAAATGCAGCAATATGAGACAACGTGAAATATGAAACTACAACGAATTACATTTATTTTATTTGGACAGAAAATATTATAATTACTATTAGGGCTGATAATGTAATTCGTTTTGCTACGATGTAAACACAGATATAGTGGTTTTCTAAAAACAAGATTATGATTCTGAATTGTTATTGTCTGATGATGACTACAAGTAAATATTTTTTCATTAGCTAGATTCAATTAAATACGACAGTTCTCTAAAATCTAAACAATATATTTTTCTTAAAAAATCATAATTATTTTCTGCTGTAATTAATGAGAAGAGTTCATTATATATTTCTAATATATAATGAACTAAACCATCGAACACTATTCATCATTTACGACATGGTATAAAAATAATAAGCCCTTTGCATTCTACATAACAAGACTCATGCTAATCTCATGATTGCTCGCAACATATCATCAGAGGCTTTTTCTGGCTGATACTCGGATTAATAATGAGGGAAAATGGTCACAATTATTGGTTCTGTTAAGCATTACCCTTCTTGCAATTGCTTATACGCCATTTTAAGTCATTATTTATGTGAGAGCTTGCTCCCATAATTTTCTTCATTTTGATATCATTTGGAAATTATAGCATTCCTGGTGAATAATCAGTTATTAAATTGTAATATTTTGTCAGTTATAATTAAATAATAAAGCTGTTACAATGGTCACTGTTTTAAAATATTGCTTAAAAGTCACAAGCATCATCTAAAAAAAACCTATATTATACTTGCACTTTCGGCTCTCTGTCAGCACACTGTCGTCTCGTAAGTGCAGAATGCCCTTGGGAGCAGGAGTTATGAAGGTATGGCGTAGACTAATACTCGTACCTTACAACAAAACTATTAGGAATGATAATGGAAACTAAACGGTTTACCATCTTTATTCACCGGTTCACATACCATATTTGGCATTGCAACAATGTCGAAGATATTATTTTCCCAAGTGTAACTGACAACGTACCGTGTAAAATTATTCCTGTAAGTGGCAGAATATATTGGGAAACTAACACAGTTTTTTAAATTTATTTACCTGACCAACACACCATTAGCAATACATTTCAGTATAACTTTTGGGAAGGACAATGAAAATCATTTTCTTCCTCCGCAAAGACAGTATTGAGTGAGAAAATTGAATTTTTATTATCATAACGGACAATAGCAGTATTGCTGACGGCGAAGAAAATACTCTGGTGCACCCTTCTTCTCTATAACTAGATATGATATAAATGTTGATATTTTGAACACACAGAAATAGGACTATTCGAAAACCTGGCAAACCATAATAGGAATAAATAAGCGTAAGATAGCGTTTTTCCTATCGCTATTCAGTTCTGGAAATATCCGTGACTGCTTATGAGTATTGATACACGTATTTTGGGTATACAATTTTAAATTAATATGAGGCAATTTCATTATATGAAATTATAGTAGTTATGACCCGTCCATGAATACTTAATCTAACTAAATTCCAATAAGAGCATTTTAAAAAGTGAAAATTGTCACATCATGTGATCTATCGTCAAAGTGTGCGCATAGTACTACCGCTTTTAGCGAAGTTTCGGATAGCCCAAAACCAGCGAGATCGCTGTAAACACAAATATTGATGTATACAATCCTATACATCAGTGATTGTTTCTAGCTGTCTCGCGGGACAGTGCACAGTTAGGGTGGGTTACGCCGTAGAATTTAATTCTTTTTATATCAAATAGATTAGGATTAATAAGTACATGGGCAACGCAGGGTATTGACATGCAAGCGGAAAAACATTATCTTTAGTAAAACCATATTAAAAATGAATAAAAGAGAAACGGATAAAGAAATAAAACGGTTTTACATTTCATATTATTCACCTGGAATAGATTCACCTGGTATTGATGATGAAAACGCGGCCTACTAAAATGTTCTTCGACAGCAGCTGAATTCGACCTGGATATCTATCGGTGTCGAAAATCCTACCACCATCGGCGGAACTCGAATCCTAGAACGTCCTAGTCGGAGACACTGCAGTGACATTGAGCCTGAACTCATTACAGAAGGTTTAAGTCAATTAGAGTCGAACATTTATTGTGATACATTTTAATATGTCTTTCAAATTCGTAGCCATCATGCAAATTGTTGCTTACATTTTATGAATGTACTTAACCGCTTTAGATAGCACAGCTCTCTGGAAGAAACTCGTCATTTAGAAACCACAGAATTATGTTATAGAAAAAGTCTAGTAAGTAACCTGTCCACGTGATGACTCCAAAAAAGACTTTGTTAAACTTGGAGCATTCACATTGCCTTCCCAATTTTTATAAATCAATGTTTGTTTTTAAAAACTGACGTCCTCAATGGTGGACGCCGAATCAGATATCTCAGATGTCGGAATTGACCAAATTTATTGAAAGCACAAAACAATTAGTAGTCCTACAATAGTATATACTTTCTCGCATTATTTGTAACTTTTGCCACTTTCGAAAATTCAGAGTTCAACGAATATCTGATCTGCGCCGTTTTTATAACCAGACATTCCATTATTCGAGGGGAAAATAAGAAAAAAATAGGGGCATATATGATAAAATCTTGTTTTTAAAACTGCTTTTATTGCAAGCTCATTATTGCGAAATCTTCCCACATTTTGAATAAAAAGAATAATGAACAATTTTTGAAGATCTATTTTTGAAGAAAATATTTCATTACATAAAATATCACTATTTTATATCTTTATATCTATACCTCTATAGATGTTGGGAGATACTGAAAAAATAAAAATTTTGCAATTTTCGAAAATTCAAAACATACAACGTAAATTGGATTTGCCATTTTTAGAAGCGCTCTATGCTCTTTTAGATGAAAAATAAATAAAACATCTGGAGACATTTTTGAAAACAATATTGAAAATGCTGTTAAATTCAATGAAAAATAATCACAAAAATCAAAATATTGATTTCAAATCCAAGATACCTCTACATCATCCAGATCGATGAGGAATACTATTTTATGAAAACCCTTCTAACGGTTTTAGCCGCTAGTGTTCCTCATGGACGGTTGGACCGACGGATAGGTTGAAATTAAATGTTATTCCGCATAACTATTTCGATACAATTATATGATACTGACAAAAGAATGGTCTGTCGAGTCAAAACAAGAATTTATTATTCTGAGTAATATTTAAGATAAAATGTTGTTCATAGGCAAACCTTTAGCTGCCGAAACAAACTGGAAGTTACACAAAATAATCCTGAATATTGCGTTTTTTTTGGAGTGGCGCACAGAGTGATGAATTAACAGATACTGACAGCCAACAGATACTGACCTGAGCCCGCCTCTCGCTATGAAAACTGTAATTTAAAGAACCGAAACGGAGAGAAAAAATATATTCGTGTGATCAGCTGAATGGGTTAAAATAAACATTATGTTGCCCCAAGCATCATTGAGAAAAACGTTGGACTGGGCTCTGTCCGTTCCGTGGCCGTAGATAATTAGATGACTTGGGTAGTGACCTACACAAGTGGGATGACCTGGCTCGGAGTTTCTCTCGGCTGAGGTGGTGCCCAACTGGGAGAGATACATGGAGGAGGGAAACATTGCATGCCGTCTAGCAGGACGGCCACGGGTGTTTCGTTCCATTGAGAGAGAAAAATCACTATGTAATTAATCAACCATTAGGTAGTGAGACCATATATCTGCAACGTCACGTACATTCTTTTCTATGTGTAAAGTATCAAAGGCTATTCTTACATAGAGAAGTCTGTGATTGACCATTATTTGATCACCGCGGCCTCTTGACCATCAACCTATTCGCGAAATGTGACTGAACAATGTGAAACCACTCGAAATCGGAGATTCGCAGCTCTATTCAGACGAGGCAGGATTGCTTCAAGCCGGCAAGTTATTGTATGAAGCACAATTCCTACGAACAGACGTACATTATCGTACATTTACTTGCAACACCCTACTCTTTCTCAACACGAGATGGCCAGGGACCCCCGAACGTCATCTGGGGGCTGACTTGTAAAACGTTGTCACCTCAGAACAAATGCTGATTTCGTCATGCCACATCAGACCATTTCGTTGCAAGCCGAGCGGGGTACTCTACCGAGCACCGCACGCTCTCCTCTCGGTTGAGCGCCCCGCCCCGGCCGCCCACAGGGGCTTCGGCCGCCGCTGCCCCACTTCCCCTGCGAAACGCCGCGCCGCGCTGCACGCTGACGTGTCCGGCCAGACGCCGCCCCGCTCGCCGGCGTTGCATTGGCACACAAACACAATTCAAAGGCAGAAAACGGGCGCGCGTTCCTATGACCACAGCGTCTGAATTCGAACGGAAATGGATGTCGGGCAAGTCGTTAACCACTTCCAGTGCCTGTGCTGTATTCAATGTGCTGAATTCGATTCTATAGAATGAACTGTAGCTGATTAGATTAAAAAAAACACTTTATTTGCACTATGGGGGAAGGTAGATTTGATTGAAACAAGCAATGATCAATTAAAGTTTCCAAATACAGTGTGTGACGAACTTTGGTTTGTAATATGCTCATTGATGAAGGTGAGGAATTGAGAACTGTATTACATTTTGCGGTTTAAGTTGAAAATTGAGGCCCAGTTAATAAATTTATTTTTGAAGCTTTAAGTCTTGTTACATTATTTTTTCTTGGGAAATTTCTTGGGATTTTCACTATTTGTACTACAACATACGGGTCAAAATGACCCGAAGTCGCAAAAACCGCAGATGGTGACAGGGTAGTGGTGAGCATTTATTTGGAGAAAAAGATAATTTATCGTTCATTGAAATTATGAAAAGGATGTATTTTGAAAAAAAATGTTTCCTAGAATGTTAAAATTGACTTATTTCACAAAAAGTATAAGTTTGGTTGAAAAGGCCGGACGTTGTAATACATGTCCCGGCATGTATGTGGTAGACTACATGATATTGGCATGGGATTGAACTTTTGCCAACTGCAAGGAGGCAGAATTTCCGTTTTTAAAACCACGGAGAGCACATCATGTCTTAGAATAAAACTTAACCCTATAATTTGTTTCTGTTTTCACTTTTCACAACGCCCATCCTCTTAATATTATGTTTCAAAACTCATTATTGACCAGAATCCTTAAACCTCAGAAATATTTTCCTACTTTAGAGAATGAAGAATGGGCGCCACGTTGAGCAATTATTTGTGAAAGACACACTTCACATTGTGGATCAAGGGATGTTTCGTAGGGAGGGAAATAGAACAAATCAAATTTGAGTAAAATAAACATTAATTGAACCAGCCCCTAACTAAAGGGAATTTGTGGCTTTATGGCAGTTCATATATGCAGTATATATTGAACACAATATATATGTATATACTGATATTTCTAAGAAGAAAGAAGATGACATTTACTAAATCTAAAAATTGACTGGAATATTTATCTTATATACTTTACTTATTTTAATACGCACCACAATTTACTGTTATAAATAATCATAAATTAATTATTTTCTGAAATGTCAATAACCATGGAAATTAATAAGTTGCTTTTACTTCATTCTTTGACTCATAAACTTCATTTCTTTTTTACAATTAACTTTTTTGGGTTGGAGGGAAATTTCCTCATTCTCCTGCTTCATATCTTAGGAGTCGGTTTTACTAGTGTGTCATTTTAAAGAAAATTTTAAGAACTGCTAAAGGTTTGCTTTATTAGTGTCTGAGATACCAACTTGTGTTCTCAGACAAAGATTCAACTCCAAAGCAAAAGCTCTAGCCCTCGCCGTGTCCTTGGTCGCCGTATGGGCGGGGACATTGAGTGGCCTGCATTGTCTCTGCGACCAGCCGGCCGGCCGGTTGGTTGGACCACGTCCTCCAGAGGGGGCAGTCGCTCTCGCAAATTCGTCACGAGTTTTGCGAAAGCGCCGACCGCCCTCCATTACCGCCACCGCCACCTCCACC